CCCTGCTATAGATGACCCCAGCCCTGGCGCTGCAGCATCCTGGGCCTCAGTTTCCCCATCTGCAAAAGGGGGAGGTTTAGAATCAGCGTAAGCCTTTGCTGTCCAAAACAGCAGCCACCAGCCACAGGCGGCCGCTGAGCACTTGAAATGCGGCTGGTCTGAACTGAGACGCGCTCAGCGTAAACCACACACAGGGTAATACCGTATTCCTCGAGTCTCTAATTAAAATCAGCCACCTATATAGACCCTTTTACCATCATGGCCAGAGAGCCTTGGAACGGAAAGCTCTAAACTCAAGTGCTCTCAGGTTGGCAGGTAGATCCTGAGGAAGAAGTGTGTGGCTTCCCATCCATGGTGTCCTTTGGGTTAAGGGCCAACGTCGCTTATGAAGCTTCTCCCTTGTATGCATGAAGTCACATGTGCAGGGTGTGTGACCACTCACCACGCGGAGCTTTCAAGTGAGGAAATTTGAAAAGACACACACAATAGTGTGGTGAAGGCCTCGGGGGAGGGCTCGGGACGGGGAGGGGGTTAATGGGGGGAAAAGGGGGGGGCATCTGTAATGCTTTCAACAATTAAGATAAATATTTTAAAAAGACACACTTTTGAAATGCCAAAAGAGAATGCTTTGTGGGTGGCAGAGTACACGAGCCCTGAGGCCAGCACCATGCTCAGGAGAAGCCGCCACTCAAGGGAGGAACAGGGACCCACCTCTTTACCTAGGGGTAAAATGAGGGCATTGGGTGGGAGGTAAGAGAAGAGAGGCAAGGAAAGAAGGACTTTCTGGCCAGCAGAGCTGCCCACCTGTTGTCCAGGCTGTGCACATTGCCCTGGGTGGAAGTGTCCACACCTTGGTCCTTGGGCACCGCCGAGCTTCTGCCACCCGGATGAGGGGAGAGTCTCTGAGATGCCAGTTTTCCAAAGAGGGGAGGGATGGGCCTCCACCGGAATTAGCCCCATTTACAGGCCAATCCTGTCAACAGCAGAAACACAGTTTTAACTCTGAGCACTTTTCTAAAAAAAAGCGAAAAAATCACTACTCCTGATTATTCTTGGGAAAATCGAGGTGCTGAGCGTTGTTCCTAATTCTATTTAAAAACACAGTTAGTTGTTGGGTAAGGGGCTGGGAATACAGTTCTTTGCTTCTGATTTCTTACTTCCCACAAATTAGTTTCTCTTTTGAATGGTTTTCATGATCTGTTTTTTTGTGTGTTTTTTAATTAAAAAAAGTCTATTGACTGAGTGGAAATCAGTTCTGGGTAGTGATACAAGATGCTTAAAGAAAGAAAAACTTAAACATTCACGTAACTTGAATTGTCAAGCCAGAGCCTGGAATAGAGTTTTTCTGTCCAACTTCTAAAAGCTGTGGTCATACATAGAAAATTGTGAAAATATTCAGAGGCATGCCCTGGATCCAGACATGGAGCCGCCCCGCTGGCTTCTACGTCTCTTAATAAAGACAAAAAGCATTAAAGAGAGAGACCTGCTGTCATCAGGCATCAAGTGAAGTGCACTTCTTGGGATTGGCCTTGACCTGACAGGTCCCCAGGGGTGAGTCACCTTCTCCGACTTTAGTCAATTTGGCTTAAAGTAATTATAATAACGAGATCTTGTTTACTAAGAACTGAAGCTCACTTTGTCTTGTTAGAAAGAAGGAGAAAGGTAGAGAGGAGAGGGCTTTCGTGGCAGCTCTCACAGCAGCTCGGAGATGGCTTGAGTGAGCTGCGTTTCTTTGACATTGAACTTGGGAGTGGTGGATGCCCATGTGAGTTACGGCTGCTTCTCCTGTGGGTTTGCACTTGGGATCTCAGGCAAATAAAATAGGAAGGGTAGAGTTTGACTCAATAAATCAAGGGCGGAGGAGAGGAAAGGGGAAAGGAAGGAAAGATGAAGACACAACTCAGACCCCCTATCTTTCCAAGATCTGGCCAGTGGCCAGGTAGAGCAAAAGCTGGGAGAGTGCCAGCGACTCAGCCCAGATCCACTGATGGGTGAACTGGCAAGTGGGCACTCGGCGTTCCCCTGCCCGCCTGCCAGCCTGCAGCCAGGGGCCAGGCAGCGGAGCCTCTGCGCCTGCCGTCAGTGGCTCTGCGGAGTGGGCTGCAAAGCCAGCCTGGGACGGTCTTGCTCAGCGGCAGTCAGGGCCACCTGGAGCCTGGCCAGGTGACTCAGCGAGTCCTTTATGCTGAAATTTCAGGATAGACCTTCACCTCGGCAGTAGTTCTTGGGGCCACATGGAAAGCCACAGCTAGGTCTGAAGCGGCAGAGCCTGGTGTTTCTGGAGGGTGAGGTATAGTCACTTTCCTGTCTTTGTCCTTAAGCAACTGAGCGACCGGCTTCGTTTACATTCCTTCAGTGGTGTTATTGAGGAGACTTGGCAGCTTCAAAATGTTTGCAGTGTCCTCTAGGCCCATTAGGATTTTTTTTTCTTCTTTGCTAGCTTTTAGCTAGCATCTGGAAAGATCCATTGGATGCGCTGGGCTGATGTTTTAAGAATCCGCTTTACAGCTTCAGGGATACCAGTAACGGAGCAAGTTTCCAGCGTCTCACTCTGGAGGAGTTTTGCAGCCTCTCAGACTACGGTACCTTTTTCTGTTTCTTAGTCTAGCCTGATACTGGGGTGGTTTTGGGATGAAACTGCTGGTGTAAGCCCTGGGGGGAGGAGTGGGAAAAAGTAATCGTTTTAGATTCTATTAGATTTCTGTCCATCTTGAGCCAACGTGTTAGAGGTTATGGTTTGGGAAGGAAACTGTTGCTACAACAGGAAAGACCGTAATCCAAAACTTCTTTGGGGGCTTTTAAGAACGATATTTTGAAAAATTAGAATAATCTGTGATGTGTAGTCCACTTGGATGTCCTTCTGTGGGAAGGACCTGCGGTGGTACTAGGCACCTGTTCTTCTCACCTGCTCACATCTTCATCCGGAGTGACGTTGGAAGGAGCCCCCGGAGGTGACCTTCATCTTCTTAAATGTGATGGATCCGCCTGCCCTGCACGGAAGCCAGAGCCGATGTCTCATTGACAGCCACTGGAGTTGAAGTCCATGCATGCATTTTTCAGGCAGCTTACTGAGCTGCTAAACTTCTGAGATCCGAACTGCTCCGTTGCTGTAGGCAAAATTCCCTGCCTGTCGTGGCTCATCGAAAGGGCTTGTATACCAAACATTTCTGAATAGAACAGAGAGATGCAGGTCTGGATGGGGAATGCAGTCTTGGCTCTCACTTGAGCCGCTCCTTAACTGGTGTGCCATGTCAAGTCTCTTGCTGAGAAAACGTCCGAAAGAGAAAGAATTACAGACATTAGGCTTGGTTTCAAGAAGTGTCCTTTTTTATTTCTGTGCTTCTGGGTCAAAACAGTTACAGAGTGGGTCCGGTTCGCTCTTAGCTCTGAACACAGCACTGTTTTCTTCCTGGAGCCGCTCCAACCTGTGGACTTTGTTAATAAGTGATGGACTTCAAAGGCCTTGGAGCTGGGGCTCTACTAAATTGCTGAGCCTGAGAACCTGAACCTCTGGAGTCAGCGGAATTGCAGTGGAAAGCTCACCAGTCTGCTAAGGAGGTTTCTGGAAACTGGCCTTCGTCCAGTGGGGCTGCAAGTGGAAAGAAACACAGGAAAGACACTCCGGACCTTTAAAGCATCTGGGCAGTGGAGAAATGACTAAAATAGGTGAAGGTTTGGAAGGAGGGCTGGGTGTGTGCTGCATTATTATTTTTTCCTAGAGGGGGTCCCATGGGCTTTTGCAGCCCACTATGGATGTGAACAGAGAGGCCAGTTGTGGGGCTGCAATGAGTCTGTCTCTGGAGAGTGTTGCTCCTTCACAGGGATACAATTCTCTGCAAAGTAATCGTGCTTTTCTGCTTGTTGAAACGTCCCTTTGGTGCTGCTGGCTGTCTGTTCCCTGGCCAATAATGAAATAGCCTCAGCAAACTGGCCGCAGCGACCATGGCTTCGGTGTCTCCCACTCCACCCCCATAGCCGAACCCCTTTTAATATCTTAATGTCACAAGAGATGTTTTCACTGAATACACGTTTCCTCCATTGTCCTCCACCTGTGGCCGTGGTTAGGACCAGCTATACCTTCTGCATGTGTGGTGAGCAGACAGGATCTAGAGCAGGAGGGCAGTTTTATAACTGCTGCTAGTCCAGCCTCGCTGGGTAAGGAAGATTCGGGGATGTTCCCAGGTCTCAGTGCACACTGGTGGGGGGTGAGGCCAGCTGTCTGGGGAGGGGGGGTGTTTTACTTACCAGTGGACACTGAATGCTTTGTGACCAAGAGAGAAGACTATTGGGCTTTATTGCTCAAATGAGGGAAATTCCAAGCTCAGATATGGTTATGATTCAGAATCATGTCATGTCTTTAAATGTTCCTCCACGGTCCAAAGTGCACCCCCACCTTAGGTTATCATGGAGCTGTTTACGTCTGTTTCTTACACAGCTTGACCTCTGTAAACAGGGACATGGAATCTCATCTCAATCTTTGATTTCTAAGTAGAAAATAGAGGGATTTATTCCCAGTGCCCTTGTGCTGACCTTGCCTTGGGGAGCGGGCTTCTAGAACTAAGGGTGGCGTCATCTGATTCCAGCAGGATTTCCTGGGGCATGCAGGCCTCAGTCTTCCGCTGCCCCTCAGTGATGAGCCACATTCACTCCATAAGCTTTGGGGCAGATTACGGTGACATCTGATATCGGTCCCTTTAGGACTTGTGCATGAGGTCAAGCAAATACAAAGCAATCATTATGCTCTCCGGAGTCCCAGAGACCTTCTGCATCAGCTGGAAAAGTGGGAGGTGGGGCAGTGAGGTGGGGCAGAGTCTAGGAACTGTGCTGTCTAAGGCAGGAAATCAGCCTAAAAGGAGATGGAAGGGCTTTGGTGGGAAATAAATGGCACTATGTTGTTGACGGAAAAAGATCTTGGCAGGACTGTTGTTGTGAGTGTTCTGTGGCTTAGAAAGGAATTTCCTACAGGCTGGACTAACCATTAAAAATGTCTCTACCTTCAGGAGTCCCAGGCGCACGATAGAGCCTCACTGGAGGAAATGTCATCTTGGACCATGGGTACCCGCAGTCCGGACAAGCGAGGAAGTTTCTTTAAGGTAAAAGGCAGCCTCGGCTGAGATCGTTTGCTGGGCTGCGCCGGGAGCTGCAGGCGCCCCGGCGGCGAGCTGCAGGGGAAGCTGGCTCTCGGAGCCGGCTCAGCGTGGGGAGCTCGCCCGAGCCCAGCTGCGAGCTCTTACCAGGTTTGATAGTTGGGATGTTTGTGAGCTAGTGCTTCGGGACAGCCCGGGACCCAGGAACAAAGAGATGCCACCCTGTGTAAGTTGAGGAGAGCTCTATTTGTCCACTGCCCAGTTCTGTTTTTAGCTGGATGGTTTTACAGTGGAAGCCGGACTCTGCATTCCAGTGAGTCAGTGCTCTTGGTCGTGTGTTTTACACTTTGCTTGATTGTATGAATCACTTAGTGCTCATTAAAAAAAAACACAACAGATTCCTGGGCCTCACCCTAGACTGACTGAATGTTACTTACTGGTGTATTTTATCAAACTCCCCAGAGGTTTCTTATGATCAGGCAAGAGAGCACCAAGGCGGCATAATTACAATGGTACAACTTTTCTGTATGCACACTGACGCCACTGCGATGAAATTACCTCACTAGCTTAAAGAGAGAAGTCTCTAAATGTATGTCTTATGTACTCTGTGTGTATGTGTGTTTTAAATTAAGACTTGGTATTCCTTCCTAATTTACACTTGGAAATGAATTTCCTTCTTATGGCTTTTGCTCTGTGTCCTTTTACCCACCCTCAAAATAATGGGTAACGATTGTAGAAAATTTGGGAAATACAGAATCATGTAAAAGAGTAGGAAAGTGGAGGTAAATTTTGCATTTGAAATCTGTCATAGGCAAGTGCTCACACACCAGACCTTTCCTCAAAAGGAGGAATGATATAGGGACCTCTTTATCACAGAGGAAAGCTGACCATTTCACTAACTTCCCCAACCTAATGGGTTGCAAGTATGTATTTACTCTCATTTCAATGTTTCCTGCCTCTAAGAGACCAAACCTGATCTACTGTGTCAGTTAAGGGCTTCCAACAATTTCCATTGGAAGAGCCTGCTGATAAAAGAAAGCTAAGTTCCATAAGCTGCCGGTGATAGGGGAGGACAGCCCCAGGACACAGTCCTGTTGGCGTCTGAGCAAAGGGAGGTCAGAAGGCGTATCTGAAGGGTTTAGAGGTCTAGGTTCACATCCTTTTAGGTGTATTTTCCAAGGCAGAGAAGTGATTAGGTTTCAGCAAAGTTTGTGACATAGTAGTTCGGGATTGGTGGGCACAGCAAGACAAGGGCCTTGGGTCCTGGCAAGTAAACTATTGTTGATATGCAAGCTGTTTTCCCAGGTGAGCAAACAGTGTGCCAGGACAGATTGTTCTGGAAGAATTTTCTGCAGCAAACAGCGACGTTATGTATTGGTTTGCAGCCTCAACTTCCTAGGCAAGAATATCCTGGAAGAAATAGTTATGTTGACATATATGGTCTCGATTCTCAGCCCTAATAGTTCAGGTATGTGGACCTAGCATTTGAAATTCTCAATTAGTTTACTCAATTTGAATCAAACCTGTATAACATCCACCCTCATGAAGCAAACAAGGGGCTCCTCAAGTCTCCTATAAACTAGGTGCTAGACCTGCCAGGCTCCTGACTCATCTCTGGTTCCTGGATTCTGTCTTAGGATGAGATACTTATTTCATCCTGGTAGAGGGAAAAACCCAGCCCCTCCTTAACTCAAGGCACTGCCTACGTCAGCCTAAATACTGGCTAGTTCATAATTACCACCTTAAGCTTAGGAAGTGTAGTGGGGTTGAATCTTACATAGTAGTTAGATATTAAAGTCAAGACAAAATGCGAAAACCGAGTATAGACAAAATTGCCTTGGAAAATTCCTTAGGAGGAGGCCTTGATGGATCCAGTTTTTCCTACAGTCCTGAAGAAAATCTTATTTATTTTTTTTAATTCGGTTGAACAGCAAGTTAAAGGTGGTTAATTTATATTTCTGGGCAATGTCCTATGAAAGAATCAAGCAGAAAGTGAGAGGCCTGCCTAAACCTGCTGAGGGCAAGTTCTACTCATCTCTCTCCTGAGTCAACGCCCTTGAGGACAGTGTAGGCAAGTGGTCTGCGCTGTTTCACTTGGTATAGTCTGTTTTGTTTTTGGTTTTGTTTTTGCAGAACTTCAATTTATTTAAGTTAGATGCTCCGTGGAAATGATATAATTGCAGTTGATCCTTGAATAATAGGGGTTTGGACTGCGTAGGTCCACTTATATGCGGATTCTTTGCAATAAATATGGTCAGTCCTTTGTATCCAGGGGTTTCCCAACCATGGATGGAAAATACTGTTTTCCATTCAAGGGTGATTGAATCTGCAGATTCGAAGGTCTGACGGTTATTTTTTACTATGGCAAGCTATAGTTAGTTATTATGGAATAATATTATTCATCATAATTTAAATAAACAAATATTAGTTATTAATTATTTCATAATTTAGGCATATAGTTATCTGCAGGGATGAAATAAACTTCCTTTTGCACATTTACTATTGACTCCTTAGAGGTTCATTTTTAAAATGTTAGAGCTCGGTGGTTGAGATGATTTGTCACATTTTGGGACCCGCTGGGCCTTCTTTTACTCCCTTGTGCTTTTATATTTTAAGTGTTGAAACTTTTGATCAGCCAGGCTCCGTACTAGGCACAGGGCAGAGAAAAACCAGAAGTCATCCCTGCCCTAGTGGAGTTTTCAGCCTGATAGCAAAGAAAGATCTTAATTAAATAATCATGACCCTGAACCCATACAAATAAATCATAAGAGAAAACAATGCTTCGTGTGAGAAGTCGAAGGGGCTTTGAGAATCTATAACGTACTGCAGGGTGCCCGAGAAATCTTTCCCGAGGAAGTGGCCTTTGGTTTGCGAGCTGAGGTTGACTCTATTATCTGGAGATGTGGGTAGGGCTAAGTTCTGGGGCGACTCAAGCTACTGAAGCGTGACAATTCTTGGTTATGTCCTTGGCTCACAGCTGAATTCCACGGGCTCGTTCTGCCTTTCTTGGTTATTTGGGCTCCTGTGATTTTGTGTAAAGCGCAGATCATTGAAAGGCTATCATTGATCTTTTACATCCTTAGGTTCCCCCATCCAGTTTCTGTGTATTTAGACCAGAGCTGCTAACCACTGGAAGCAAGCCTCAATTTGTGGCTTCCCATCCGTCCTGGCTCGGGGAAATGACTCAGATAAATCACAGGATGCAGAGCCGTGGGTAACGCACAGACTGCCTGAGCATCCTGGGGTACTGAGAGTGCCCACGGTTATTGTTCATATAGAATTCCGTCCTGGCACCCTGGCCACAGAGATCCTACGCTGCTGGACAAACATGTTTTCCACAGTCCTTTCCAGTTCCTTTTCCTCCAGCACCTGGGGGAAGCAGCATCTCCCTGCTCTATCCTGTCCCTGTGAAAACGCGAGGGGAGGCTGGCGATACCCTGGGCAAGGCGGCCAAAGTGATCTGCTCCCAAGAAATGGCAGCGGACACCCATTGCTATCGGATTTCATGAGTGTGTTGTGTGAAAGAGATTGTGCAGGGAAAACATTATCTAGGCTGGTAAAGTGGAGTAATAATCTTTGATTCTTCCTTTTCCTGAATTCCACAGCTTCCCCCAAGCCACCCCCACCCCCACCCCATCCAGGTGCCCAGTGCTGGCAAATACCCCTCAAGTCTCCAAAATCTACACCCTCCCTCCCTCCCTCTCCTACATTACCTCCCTACTCAGGCTCTCATTCCTTCATTTGTGGGCACGATGGATGACGCTTGCTCCATCTGCGCTCTCCCGAACTCGCGTGTTTGCTTTCTCCCAACCATGCCGCCCATCCACGTCGCTTCCTGCAGACTCTGCCCCGTGCCGGACCCGGCACCAGGACTGCGCTCTTCCCCGTCAAGGGCTTTCAGGCTGCACTTCCACCTTCTCAGCTCTTCCCCCGCTGGTCCTGCCACTGTGCCATCGTGGGTCTGCTCCCGTGGCCCCAACCTGCTGATGCCCACCCTCTGCGCTTTGCCCGCCCCGCCCCCTCTCTCTCACCCTCCACCTCTCCCCATCGGGTTCCCACTTACCCTTCCAGGCTGGTGTGCACCCACTTCATCCACTGACGGTGGAGCTCCCATGGCAGAGCTGGCATCTCCCTTCACTTTTGTCTAAAGATAAAATTGTGGTAGAAATGTTATGTGTGAAGGCCTACCTGTGGCCCCATGCAGAGCCAGGAAGTGAACTTGAACTCATAACTCTGAACTCTGCCATGAGGGACTTGTTTTGTCTTTTTGATGCCACATTGCTGATCCCAGGAGGATCCTCTTATAGCAGAGAACATGCCAGAGGGATCAATGGGAATTATCCACTCTGCGATTCTGATTTCTTCCTTCTTTCTGAGTGCCTGCCTCCAGCCCCCCTTTGCCTTGGGGACAGGGAAACAGTTGGCTTTAACTGACTAGGAAGAAATGTGTTTTGATTACAGAGACCTTGCCCTCCTGTGCCTCCAGACTGCTCAAAACTGGTTAAAGTGCTACAAGGCGATATAAAGAGCACCTAGGAAAGTCAAACGGAGAATTAAATCATCGTTAGGTGGGCAGCGTTAGCATCGCCAAGAGCTTGTTACTAGCAAGCAGTGGTTCTCAAAGTGTGGTGCCAGCCTCAAGCAGTGGTTCTCAAAGTGTGGTGCCAGCTTCCAGCAGCAGTGTCACCTAGAAATTTCTTAGAAATATAGATTGTTGGATTGCACCCCAGAACCAGTGAATCAGGCATCCCGGGGGTGGGGCCCAGCGGCCTGTTTTAACAAGCCTGCCAGGGGATTCAAGTCTAAGAACCACTGTTCTATCTATTTGAATGAGTCAGCAAGACAATGCAAAAAGCATAGAAATGTCTGCATTCTAGACCTGGCTTCATGTCCCTGTCTGGAGGATGGAGTAAGATCTCCTTCCCAGCTGGGCTGTGAGCACCAGTGCTTTAAAACCGAAAGAAGTCATCCACCCAGCGCTGGCCGAGCCGAACACTGGGCACCTA